TCAATTTTATGTGGCCCAATATCAAAACTAGCTTGCTTTTCTTTTCTTTTGGTTATATAAAGCTATATGAGGATGGACAAAAGAGCCGGGGGGAGGGGGAAGGAAGGCAAGATTCATTGTTTGCACTGCTCAACCCACAAGTCAATAAACCATAGGCAGGCTGAGTGGAGTAAACTGGGATGCCAGTGAAAAAAAAGTTCTCCTTAAAGGTTGAACCATATGAAATCAATAATGTTCAATTATTCATTTGCATGTTTCTTATGTTCTATAGAAGACCCCAATAAAAAAAAAGCAGTAATACTCCACAAAGAAGTTCTGTGCCACTGACTTGAGTGTTGTTGGTCCTTATCAAGAATTAGCAAAAAGGGGGACTCCTTCTACACCTTACTGTGCATTGTATACACTGTACATTCGTATACAGCATATCCGTTGGAATACAAGCCTTTACCCCTCAGACAGCAAAATAAACACTTTCAAGTTCATCTGGTCTTCTCTGGTTCACAACCGAGGAACAACTGCATCAACTTCAGAATATTGTGTGCACCAACAAAAGGTGGTCATCTGACCCAAGGGGCGGGGGCAAGTCTCTGCAACTTGTTACTATGAAGGCCAAGGCAAGTCCTGAGGTGCAGAGAGGCAGGGCTGAACCCACTCTGCTCATTCCATGCAGAGTACAAGCGCAAACTCCTTTGCTCTCTCGCATCACCATGGGGTTTACACTGCCTTGCTAAGAGGATTCCAGGAAGCCCCAAAGTGATGGCACACGAAGACAAAAAAAACTGGCAGAGTCAATTCCCATGATGCCAGGGTACTGGGTAGTTTCCAAGGGCAGAGCGTTCCAGAAAAATGCAAATAGTCAGGGCTTCCCAAAGAAATTCCAGGCCAATACGGACAGATGTTCTCTTAGGAAGTCACACAGAATTGCAGTTTAGAAGCTTGGATGAAGAGGTTAGAGCGCAAGGGCGAGCAAAAAGTTGGCACCCTGTTAGGGATTCTAACCAACCACTGAGTATTCGCTCCTCCCTCTCCATTTCATACATCCACTTCAAAGACCCCTGTGCAGCTCATGATAGCTGGCGATGTTTGTGTCCATTGCCAACGTGATGGCCTTTCAGTAATGGGGGGAAGGGGGTGCCTCAACAAACTTTAACCTTTTTTGAAGTTTACGTGAGAATTAAAAATGCCTTCTTTCCAGTATTCAAATGTCTGCCACTTTAAAAAAGAAAAACAAAGCTGAGTATCATTCAAAAATAGAAGCCACCCCTCCTGCCACATCTCCCCAAGGATGTGCCACAAGACCAAAAGTAAAATCAAAATAAAGTTCTTATGAGGAGCAATTAAGGTATTCATATTTGACAACTATTGGGGAATTTCTGAACAAAATATCTCAGCCGTGAGACATGGTCACGTCAGTCCCGCATAACTTTCAGCCTTAGAGCATACTTCGCTGTATTATGCCCTTTCCCAATTCTCTTTCCTCATGCTCCTTTCCCCAAATACATATATTGAGATTTTCACCCAACTGTAAGAAAGGCTTTAAGTAAGGTGATTTCAGTAATCCTCACCAGGATTCTGTCAAACGTGACAGTGCAGCAAGAAAGCAGCCATCATCCCTGCCATGGAACCTCTGTGGCTAAATTACTCACCTGCAGGTTGCAAACCCTAATAATAGAATAGATATGAATTTTTAAATACGAGGAAATGCACTCTCAGTTCACAGACCAAATTAAAGAAACCTTATTCCAAAATAAAGAATATCTGTGATATCTCATAATAAAACAATTTAAAATTTTAACAAGTGTTAAGTTCTACTGTTGAAGCATTCTTTTAATCTACATTGTGTTCCAAATAATTTCAAAGCAAAACACAAGAATCAGCTCAAAACAACTATTAAAAAAACAAAAACACAAAACACAGAGCCAGAGCTCACAATATTACTTCCCAAGCTCTAGAAAGCTTTCTATATAGGAGGGGAAAAAAATAACAGGTCACGGAAATGAAGTTTCACTATGTATAAATACTGTACATGCTTTAAAAGATCCCGGGATTTCCAAAAGTCTCAACTTCCACTTTGTGTGTAACCTTATGACAGTTCTAGCCAACTGCAAAGCAGATTTAACATACCATTCCTACAAATACAAAATGCATACCCCACAAATACTACCAGTGTTGAAGGAACTAAAAGGTTTTGAACTTTTCAACAGCTTTCAAACCATTTTGTCCCATGCAAATGACTTCCAAATTCTCAGGCAGGCCCCAGAAAGTAAAGCACAAGAAACTATATTTACTTAAAGATTCAGTCTAATTCCCTGTAGTAAACCACAGGAAATAATTTATTTCCAAAGCAGCCTCTCCTCAGTCCTCAAACAGTTAAGTTTTGGTCGATTTGCATTTTAGAACTGAATTTTTTTAAGCTAAAAGTCATAGTAAAATTTCTCCTTTTTATGAATGTTTAAAACAAGCAAGTTTTTCAGATCTGAGAGTGAAACTTAGTTTTAACAAGTAACTCATTTTTATGAAAACTCCAACCAGAAGACTAGCTATGAGTTAGAAACACTTCAGGTTGTTTCTTTTCTTCTTAAAATACCCTTTTGCTCAAAGTGAAAATGCGCTTGCTGTAATCTGACTTCCACCAACTGACTCTGATTGCACCTGAAACATTTCCTCACTTGAGAATGGCAGCCTGCTCTCTCCCAAAGCTCCACTAGGTTTCCACTGGGAGCTGCTACCTGGCCTCCAATTCTGGACAGACAATTCTCACTAACATTTAACAGATCTTCTAGCTCTGACCAGTAAATTTTTTTTAAAAACTTACAATTGCATTTGGGGAAAAAATTAGAACAAGTAAAGAACCTAATAAAAATGGCCAGGGGGGGGTGATTTGGCCTTAGAATCTATTTTTATAAAAAGCACTAAAGCTTCAACGTTTAAGTTATAGTCCTACAATAGTTTAAGAATACCTTGACTTAAGGCCATTTGAGAGGCAAAACTAAAAATAATCCCCAAACTCTGCCTTTCCCTATCTTTAAAGAAAGCCACTCCAGCAAGCTGAAAGCAGGCTGTATCCATTTCCAAGGACATGAGAAAAGGTGTAAGTACATACTGTACTTTGAATGCCCAACAACAACAACAAAAAATGTTTTTTTTAACAGCAAATGCTTTGTAACAGCTCAAGTAGAACTGATAAATAAACCAGTCAAATACTTAAATTCAAATGTTAAAGTAAAATTGGATTTGGCAGGCAACCCCGATTTTCTGACTTAAAAGTATACCTAGCTTAAAGTAAGGAGGCACTTTACGTTTTTGAAGCACTTGGTAAAATTGCATGTAATGCCTAGTAATGAGGTTATAAGTGATGCCTTTACTCTAAAATACGCTTTGGAAAAAATAAGATCCTGACTCCTTCTCCAGGAACTTTAATACGATGTGATTAACTTAACCTTTTTTACACACATTAACCACAAAGATAACTGTATGTAAAACCACCTTGGTGTAACAAGTGCTTACCAAAGGAAAATCTGTATTAAGCTGTACGGTCCGGATGAGGGGTAAGGAAGGAGTTTAGCTCAACTAGAGAAGCTTCGCATCGATCCTTCCACCTGTGACACAGTGAGAAACTGGCAGCTTCTGGCAGCCGCAGGGCGAACGCACGGCCGGTAAGCCTCTGCACCGCCAGCCCCGAGCCTGACCTCCCGAGGGCCCCAGGGCCTTCTCCACCTCGGGGTAGGGACGTGCCTGCCCACACAGAGTCTCTCCTCGGGTCTGTCTGCCTGTCTCTCTCAGAAAGGGAAAAAGTGCGAGGCACCTCCTCTACAGGCCTCCATGCAGGCAGAAGTTCCCTACGGTTCCCTAGATTCGAACCTCCACTCCAACTCCCCCAAAACACTAGTGTCAAAGCCCCCCGCCTTGCCCCTCGGATCCGTAGCTCCGTGCTCGAAGGCACTGAGGTGGCAAAGCAAGAGATTATACACGCCCCCGGCCCTGGTCATCCGGGGGAGCCTCTCCTCGCCTAATTAAAGGCCTTGAACCTTGGGCGAGGCCAAGTTTGGGGGTACCTCCCGGCGCAGATAAGAGCTGGCCGCGCGGCGCCGAGGCCGGGCCCGGAGGCACGCAAGGCCAGGGCGCGCTGGCCCTTTAAAGGCACTCGCTTCCTGCGTCCGCGGCCCCTCCCTCGCCGTCGCCAGCTCCCGCCCCCGCCGAGGGTCACACTTGAACTTTAGCTCGCCCCGTGCGGTCGGGCGCCGGCGCTCCGCAGGCGATGGCCGCCCCTTCGCACGTGTCGGAGGCGCTACCTCGGGCTGGGCGCTCCCGGCCCCCCGCACTCGAGGCCACTTCGAATAAAATCGAAACAAAACAAAATGCACACCGGCCTCCAAAATCTGCGTGGCCATCCCCGACGGGCCTCCCGGCTCGCGCCCTGCCTGTTCCCTCCACCTGCAGCCCGGTCCCCTGGCGGCGGGGCTCTGAGGCCCCTCGCCGCGCTCTCCCCAGCCCAGAGCGGCGGAAACGGCTCCGCGGGGCGTCCCGGGGCTAGGAGGACGCGCGCCGCGGGGGCGGAGGGGAGCCGCCCTCACCCCCGAGGTCCTGGAGGAAAAGCAGCAGCTGCACGAGTCCGCGCGGGCCGTGGCGGAGCAGCTCCCAATGAACCCCCCTTTCCTTCCACTGGCGAACTTTTCTGCCCGCTCGGAGGTCCACTTCTTGGCGTACTTTTTTCACTCCCTTAGGTCTCAACGAGCCCATTCCCCGTCCCGCTCCAACTCTCACTAGAGCGCACGCAGAGACACTTATTCCGGTCCCCCGACGAGTCCGGGGCAAGCCCACAACCCACCCCTGCCGCTTCTCGCCCGCTCCCTTCACGCGCTGCCCGCGTGCTCTGCACTTTCAGGCCAAGCAAACTTGCCCAGCCGCCCCCTCATCTGCCCCACCGCGACCTCAGGAGGAGGCAGGCAGGCTGCCCGAGCCCCCCTCCCGCTCCGGCCGTTAGCCCCGAGGCCACTCACCTTCCAGCCAGCCGAGCTGTTGCTGTCGCCCTTATCCTTGAAGTAGGGAACGCTCTTGACCATCCACTCGTAGATCTGCGACAGCGTGAGCCGCTTCTCGGCCGAGCTCTCGATGGCCTTAGTGATGAGGTCGGCGTAGGACAGGTTGCCCCACGCGTTGCGGCGGGACGAGCTGCTCTTGCGCGGCTGCCCCGCTAGCGGCCCGGCGGCGGCGGCGGCGGGGGGCACGGGCGGGTGCTGCGACAGCGGCCCGGGCGGCGGGGGCTGCGGCGGCGCCGGGTGCAGGCAGCCCGCCTCCGGGCCCTGGAAGTCCCCGCACAGCCCCCCGGTGGCGGCAGCTGCGGCCGCCGCCGCCGCCACCGCCGCCGCCGCCGCCGCCGCCGCCACGGAGCCGGGCGCCTGCTGGAAGTCCCCGCTCTCCTCCAGCAGGCTCAGGTTGCTCATGAAGTCGGCGCTGACAGCGGACGCCGAGGCCGAGGGCAGGCCCGCGGCGGCGTCGGGGTTCGCGGCCGCGCCGCCCGACGGCGCCGGGCTGGAGGTGGCCGAGTTGGACTGGCTAAACTCCGGCCTGGGTAGCGGCCAGGTGCACGAGCGCGGCCGGGGCAGCGGCTCGAAGTCCGGGTCGATCTCCACCACCTGGGGCGCTTCGGCCATGGTGACCCCGGCCCCTCCCCCAGCCGCGGGACTGCCAAGAAGTGAGAGAGTGCAGCACCGGGGGCCGAGGGGAGAGAGCGAGAAGAGCCGGTCCGAGATTTGCCGGGGCCGGGCGCGGGGGGCGGGGGGGGGGGGTTGATGTCGGTGCCACGAGCGGACGGAAACCGGGAGGAAGGCGCAGCGGCAGAGTGGAAGCGCGAGCCCAGAACTTAACTTCACAGGTCCATCAACATCTAGGCTCCTCCGGGTTCGCTGCACGGACGGGACGGCAGGCCAGAGTCACCGGGCCCCGGCAGCGCCGGCGTCGCGCTCCTGCTGACACGGCCCGCGGAACGAAGGACGGACAGACGCCGCGGACCGTTCACTCTCCCGGGCTGCGCGACCGTGTCGCTGCTGCCTGTTGAATGTGGCGGCGACAGCGGCAGCTGCAGCAACTACGCTGCCGCCCGACTTACTGGATCTGCCGCCGTCCCCCGCCCGCGGCGACGCGCGCGCCGGCCCGCCCCTGACTGACAGCCCGAGAGACCAGTGAGCGCGCGGCGGCTCCGCCCAGGCAGCCAGTGGACGCCGGCCTGGGCGGGGCCCGGTTTTCCACAGGGAGGCCGCAGTGGGTTGGTGGGGGGTAGTGGGGTGTTTTTCTCTCCCACACACACACACGCACACACACTCTCGCTCTCTCACTCTTTTTTTTAAGCTCTCTGTTATTATTTTCTGGTAATTCTCGAGTGTTTCTGTGAGTCTCTCGCCCTCCCAGTGTTTTGATTGCTAGGAGGAAAACCAACGTGGAGGCGACGGCGACACTTTGTTTACTACTGAGGAGCAGAGAGTACTCGGGAAGCCCGAGTGGAACGAGTCGCTCGCTTCGCCTCGACCTCCGCTAGGGGCCCAAAGCCGGGCCGGGCGGGGGCCGGGGACGCTCAGCGCTCCGGGGGCGCTGGGTGGGCGGGCGGGCGGAGGCGGCCTCGCTGCATTCTGCTCAATCGCCCCCTCTCGACTCTGCCCACGATTTCTTTGCAGAGAAACGTGGGGAAGTCGGTGGGTTTTGTTTTGTTTTCCCTGCGACGTGTCGAGTCCTCCGGCCCCGGCGCGAGCCGCACACGCCCCCCCGGGGCAGGGGCTCTGACGGTCAAGTCCGCGCGGACGACGCAGTCGCTGCAGCTTCCGCGCCGGGAACCCACCTGTCCGCAGCCGCCGGCTGAGCCTCTGCGGTTGGATGTAGACGGGGGCCAGTTGTCCAGCCCAGCAGCCACCAGCCGGGTTCACTACATTCTTGACTTAACTAGAAATGAGGGAAGGGGGCTCGGCGTGGGCCGAATATGGTCCTACCTCACACGCACCCTCGGGCCCAAAGGCATCCTCATCCTCGTGCCCTCTTCCCTTGGGCGGGAATCTCAGACTCTCCACTGAGTCAGTCCGGGGCGACGGGGAAGGGGTCAGAGGAGAGCATTTAGTGAGAGCCTTGTCACTTTATTATTACCCTAATTAAGTTTAACTGTTTGCTTGCCATTTCTTTGCTATTTAGAATGGAAGTGCTGAGGTGTTGAGAAGTGAAAATGGAAGAAGGGAGAGGACCAAAGCCTTGGGGTGCAGCCCTGCCCCACTCCCAGATGTTCCTTTAGGCCGCTTGCCCCGTGCGTCCATCAACCCACCCCACCTTTCCCCATCTGGGCTCCAGGTCCAGGACGTCCTGCCGAGATCAGTGGGGCAAAAGGTAGGAAGACAATGGCCCTTGTGTCTCAGGGAGCAGAAGAAACAGTCGTCAAGTTTTGTTTTCTTTTGCACTTTTTTTTTTTAGGAGGAATATGGAAGGCATTTCCTTTCAGAGGGATGGGATCACTTAAGATGGAAGATTGAATTGACCGTAGGGTTTTAAATATCTTGTCCAAAGTGACAGCTCCCAATTCCAAAAAAAAAAAAAAAAAAAATCCCTGTTTCTGACAGGTGGTTCTTCAGTTGAAAAAGTGGCATCTAAAGAAAATGAGGCCTCGTTTACAAAAGTTTGAAAAGACTGAAAGATTTATTCCTCCTTGACATTCTCACTCGTCCAAACTACTATTTCTTCATAATCCGCTTATCACAACAGCTTCCCAGTGATAAGGGGGCTGGGTGGAGGTTGTGAGCCTGATAGATGGAAGCTAGGGTTGGTTCCCACCCTCGTTTTGCGGTCTCTGCGTTTACTATCAAATTTGGACTGTTCGGGCCTCGTCTGCCCGCCGCTAGGGGACCTCAGTAACCCAGACGAGCTGAAAGGAAGGCCGTAATGTAGAACTACTGCTTCCCTCAAACTTTGCCACTGCACTCTGCAGGGGCAGCCCCCATTCGGACGGCCGCACCCTGCGAATAGGCGGTGCCCTAGTGGGTCATTCTTGGCAAAGGAAGCCAGCTGGCAAATTTGGCCTTGCCTCCATTTCAATTCCGGTTTTTCAGGGCCTCAGTTGGAGGAAAGTATTTGGTTAAGAGGGTTTTCTTACAAACTTTCTCCCCAGATCCTTGAAGTCTTCTGAGCTATCCTGCCTAATTGTTTCTGTAAGAGACATATTTGCTTTTGTTTGGTCTTTTTTAAAAATTTGACTTGAAGCAGGCCCAGAGTACCTACAAGCACCAATGTCCCTGACACGTGGTTCCAAAAAATTAAAAATATATATTTAAAGGTTCTTATAGCTGCCTAAAATACCGTGGTATGTATCAATCTACTCACACAAGCTGGTGGACATTTGGCTTGTTTCTACTCTTTAGCGGTCACAAACCCTTCTTCTGTAGTGAATAACCTTATATAACTCATTTTGCGTATGTGCAAGTATGTCTATAGGAGGAATTTCCAGAAAAGAGATGACTGGGTCAGCAGTTAAATGCATTTGTAATTTTGAGACACTGCCGAATTGCGCTCCCTAAGGGTTGTATGTATCAAGCTGAACTTTCTTTTCAGCTAGACCTAGAGAATGATAAAGTTGAAAGTAAACCTGGAGATCATCCTGGTGGTCCCTTTAATTTATAGGTAAGGAAAACGAGGCACAGAGAAGCTAACCGATTTGCCCGAGTTTACACAAATAACAGTGGTGCTGTTAGAACTAGAGCTTCAATTTCTTGCTTTCCCATCCATAATCTTCTCAACACACAGATAGAAAATTATAAATACCCTGTAATCCTAATATGCGATAACCACGATAAAACTGTGGTGTATTTCTCTCCAGCCAATCCCACAGATTTTAGTAATTTTACTTAGATTAACTCCACTGAGCTGGAAGTTTTGATTTAAAAGATTTTTAAAAAGCAGACACACAGAAAAATGATAGTGATAGTAAGATAATAAAAAAGATTACAAAAGAAGTGGTTTGGGGTTTTTTTAGTCAAAAAATGTAAACGTTTTCTTTGAAGGATGGCAAAGGATTTAGGTTGGCACTAGTTCTGCTTAAGAGAAAAAGGTTTATTTCTTTTCTCCTTCAGTATTTTTTTTTGTGGTAGCTGTTTGCTTAGAAGGGTTTTTCTAATGATTCTCACTGATGAGTAAGTAAGTGTGAATCATTATCATGGGTTCATGTGGCCAAATTGGGAAGAAAAATGTTTCATGTCAGGTAAGCACAATTAAAATGAAAAAGGAAGTTTATCCTCACAAAGCCCATCTCACAAACCTATGTGGTATTCTTTCCTCTGCCTCTTTTCAGGGTAATTATTACGTCATCCTTGACAGGAAGACTGAGGGATGGTTCCCTTTGATCAATTCCCAGGTAGAAATTTCTATATTTACCCCTCACCACCAACACACTGATCTCTGGTTTAAATTCTTATCAAAAAATAGGTAATTTAAGTCCAAGTTAATGAGTAAAAAGCCTAGATGCTTATTCTTCAGTCACAGCACTTAACTTCATACTTCACCTTCCCTTCCCCAGAACTGCCCATTTCCAATATTTTGTCTAAATCATTAGGAGGTATTGCTATCAACTTAAAACAGGCTTTCTTCAATTTGCCCATAGAAAATAATGATATGAAACAACACAGCTTCAGCTTCGTAAACCAGTGTCCTGAAACCTGGCCTATTAAGTGGTAGTTATAGCAATATCAGAAGTAGCCATTTATTTTTCTCGAGGGGTAATTTCCTTCGGATTTTGTCATTCATTCAGCAAATACTTGTAGAGCACCTCCTATGTACAGGCCAGGTGCCATGCATCACACGGTACATTGGTTTTTCTTTTTTCTTTTCTTTTTTTCAGAGTACATTGTTTTGATGGCAAATTCCTTGAGGTCATAAATAGTTTATTTTCCTTTATATGATATTTGATGTCAGAATTAAGACTGTGTCACTCTTTAAATAATCAGGAATGCATACTGACAATATTTATTTGAAGGAATTACACACAAAAAAGTATTTGATAGATACAAGGAATGCTAAGTCAGAAAAGAATTGATGTATTATCATAGTCACCATTTTGAAGAAAAATAATAAGATGAGGTAGAAAAGCTGAATAAATGAACATCCGTAGGTGTTGGGAGTATGAGCTCTGGCCACCAGGCTTTGGGATTGGGAGGATCTTGCTCCAAATGGACAAAAGACACAGGATATGTCAGATTATTTGTCTGTCACAAATAAAGATGATGCTTACTAATCTGTAACTGGAGAGAAGCATTGGGCAAATCATAAACCAGAGATCCAACATTTTCTATTGTGCTATGAAGATGTGTGTCAGCTTCTATAAACTCTATTCCTTTGCTTTAAGTGTTAGTGAGAGACTACCTGTGGGTCCCTACAACAGTACTAAAAATGTATTTGGAGATAATCTAAATGACCAACAATAGAGAATGGTTAAATGCCTGTAAGGTAGAATCATATATAGTCATTTAAAATAAAGTGGACCAAGCATACCTAATGGCATTGCGACAATGCTGGTGATACAATATTTGAAAGGTTGGAGGTACCACTGTGGGCTAAAAAATTTTGGCAGTGGTTATATCTGGGTGGTGGATTTATAGGTGATCGTTACAGGTCTCACACAAACCCCTCTTTTTACAGGTAAGAAAACAGACAATGAGACGTTAAGTGATTTGCCCGAGGCCGCACAGTTAGTGAAGAGCTGGGCCAGGATTCAGACCTCCTAGCATTCAGGCCAAAACTCTTTCTTGTATAGCATTGCTTTTCACTTTACCTTTCTAACTGGAGGTTTTCAGACTATTTAATGAAATTCAGCCTATTTTAAACACTAGGTCTTTAACTAACTTTGAGACAATAAAATTACTCTCCCAAACTCCAAACAGCCTGCACATTACAATTAAAATTTTTTCTAACATTAAGGACTGAGAGTTGCCATAAAAATTAATGGATGGCACATGAAATCCCAAATTCTTTGAATATCACAAATCTGAATTTTGCACTCATGCTTGAAACACAATGTGTTTTCACTATTTTATTTCTGTTTCATGTCATATTAAAGCTCTTAACATGCTTCCCAAAAAAGGGGGGACATATGTATTAAATAAGGAAAAGCTGCCATGTAGATCACAGATGGTAGCACATTTTTGGCAGAAAGGAAGTTTAACAAGGCGTTCTACTTATTTACTTGGAAAACTAACATGTATGAATGTTCAAGTTAAGTGGTAAGAATTAATTGCTGTTTTACTATAATCAGTTTTTTTCCAATCAAATTGCCCTATTTCCATAACATTACAGAAGAGAAAGGGCGTCAAATGTGATTGTAACCCCCTGGGAGTCCACGACAGTAATGAAAGAACGAAGGAAGAAGAAACAGCATTTTATAGTAACTAACCATGTTGCTTGTCGTTTGTTGATAAAAATCAATAACAAGAGGTAATGACTGTATAGTCAGAGTACACGTGTTTTTAATATGACATGTATAGTCACTGACTGTCAGTTATGGTGTAAAAACAGGAGGTAAGAGTTTATCAAATTTCAGATTTGGCTGACTCAACACAGCCCACCCATATGCAAGGTCTGCTATGCCAGAGAGTAAACATAGATGAATAGTGAGTATTTCTCTGGAATACCAGGTTTTTATTTTGTGGTAAATAGAGCCTTTAAAACACATTGAAGTATTCTATATTCTAAGGTTTAACATTTTAAAATGGAACTTCCAATTAGCTGATCACTGATATCATGCTGGAGGAAAAAACTGATTTGTCTCATATGATGCCGTTATATACTTTAAATAATTTTGTGTTTGAACAACAAACTGAAAACAGAACATTTGACAGCTACATTGCATGCCTGCACTCCAGAAGATTACAACCTGGAAAAACTCTTCCCACGATCCGAGACTAGGCTTGGTGAGATCTCGCCCTCCTATGTTTCAGATTTATATATCATCTGAAACAAGATGATATGTAAATTGATAAATATAAATATATACCTCTCGTTTCAAAATGTTTTCATTTCTAAGCCATAAATCACTTTTTACTCCGAAGCAGAATATACACATTTTCTTTAGGCCCCAGTGTTAATAAAAACTACCATTTTTCAACAGTAGTTTTGGACTAAGCACTATATAGCTATTATCTGAATCAGTCCTCAAAGCCAACCAATAATGTAGGAATTATCATGATTCATATTTTACAGAAATTGAAACTGAGGTACAGAGAGCTAAGAAACTTACTTAATGTTGTACTTTAGGAGCTTATCTAATTGTAATCAGACTTGACCCTACTGTTATCAATATACAGAGCTCATCTCCTGGTTAACAGACCTTCTGCCTCCGTAAAATGTTGGGATTTTTCTAGAGCCCTAGAAATTAACCAGAGGTTAATTTGATGATTCAGTTTTTTTCCAGAAAATTGACGTTGGAACATTTTGGGAGGTGGAGGGATCTTTGTCAGCAATCAGCTCTGCCTGAAACCAGTTTCGTTTATGTTAATGAAGGAAGCCTAGAGATAGAATATAAATGACAATAATAATGCTGACGTTTGCATTTGTATAACACAAATGATGTCGGGGATTTCAAGCCATTAGCACTTGCTTATCTGAACAGACAGCCTCAGACCATCTACAGTAAGAGCAACCTGCCCTTCCGGAAAGGTTGGCTCATCTGGAACTCTTTCCGAAGCTCTCCTTATCTTCAATAAAGCACATCAAACCAAGTTCACCAGCTCTACTGAGCTCTGTCCCCACCAGAGAAAGTGGTTAGCTTCGGATCTGTATCTAAAAGCCATCCGTCCTATGAGTTTCAGAAGCTCAGATTTAGCTTAGAACTAGTGAACATATATTTTACAATTCAAATGAGGGACCTTACGTTATTCCAATACTACTTGAATCCAGCTCTGTTGCTGAACGTGCTGGGGACTGATCCAAGCCATAAGGTTTACTTTCATGAGACAGTAAGCAAAATTAAGAGCGAAACAAACAAAACCCTTGTGTTCCTCTCCACCTCAAAGTGACTTGGAAAGTGTCCTCTCCACCACCAGGTGAGCATAAAATATCAGGAATATTTGTAAAGCACCTTTAGAAACACTTACTTTGGGAAGGGGATGGGATCCTATCTTAATGCCCCCAGTTTTCATAAAAAGCATGAATAAAACACCCTTCAGCTAAGAGTTTAGGCTGTGTTCTCCTATCTTCAGCTTCCCATCACAGAGACATATTGGCAGCCTCTACGACCCACAGACTACAGTCAGAAGACCCACAGACTATTAGTCAGAAGAGCTTATCTGTGGCTACCTTCCTTTCAGTCAGTTTAAATCGCCAATGAATCACGAAAGGAAAATCACCCCTCCATGCTTTCCCATCCTCAGGAGATGTCCTAGTTTTAATTAGCCAGTGCATCCAGCTGTGAGAGTCAGCAGATAATCATAATTTTGTATGATAAGTAAAATCAGTATAATAATCCAAATATATTATCTCTTTTCTTCAATAGTTGTATATTTGATACTTGATTTGATGTTTTACTTTTTATTGTAGACACAGACCGACAAGGCCTGGGGAAGTAGGGTGGAGAAAGGAGCAGAATGCCTCCACCTGGATAGGAAAGCAAATCACGTGTGTCCCTCGCTCATCTCCAGCCAAGGCTATAGTGTGAGTAGAAAGCTCTGGAAACACAGTGGCTCTCTTATAGATCACAGCAGCTGTTTTATCAAGTATGCTGTGATGTTGGCCCTACCTGCAAAATATGATAAAATGAAATCACCAATGGCTCTTCCAAGAAAAGCAGAAAATCAACAAAGCACTACCAACTGAAGTTCTTTTATTCCCCAGGTAGTGTTCAATTTATTCTGCATTTTGAAATTTTATCTTGCTATTACTTGCCACCTACATACCTCAAAGAGGTATTGTAAGGATTAAAATAATGTCTTAAAGTGCTTTGAAACAGGGATGAAATGTTTGTTCTTTGACATCGGTACAACCTCGTGGGTAGGTCTTTGTTACTGTACGAATGACTTCAGCTTAGGTAAACACATGATTTCTAAATCACTGATATTTATTCTAAATCCTGCTATGGCTCCTTCGTGTTCACATGTTTTGCACATCGGTTGCCCAAATCCAACTGATTCTTTGTGGATTCAGAGATAGTATGTATAACATCCATGGTATGTCATAGCAAGAATTTAGGAAAAGTCTCCACTCTCAGGGATTTTTATTACTTATCCATGCCCTACAGCTGAGTTTTAAAAGGAAAATTTCATGGAAATGACTTGAGAATCCTGAACCATTGATGCACCTTTTTATAGGGGCTGATATACCAAAACATTGCTATAAAGGCTTTAAAAATCCTCTTACATTATGCTTGATAGTCTCAGCAGGCAATTAAAAAGCGGTTAACAATAAAGTTAGCTGTGACTCATTTTAGTAGTTTAGCTGATGAAGATTCTGGCAGCTTCATTTAACAGATAATGTTTTCATAGAAAGCAGCACAACTTTAACAATAGAGCAAATTTCTCTAAAACAATTGCAGAAGAGAATTGATACAGTGTATTCTTTGGTTTTCTGTGGCTCTTTTGGGGGGGGGCAAAATTCTTAAAAATCTAAACCCACTCAAACACCACAGCATGTTTTGTAAGAGTTAGATGTCTCCAAGAAACATAACAACTGGAGACAAGTGACTTCCTCATGAAAACAGAATAGTCCTACAACATTAGCGCTCTCAAAAAAAAAGGAGAAGAAAGAAAACAAAAACATACAGAACAGAAACCAGAAAAAGTATTCTACTTAAAGGGAATTGGAATATAATGGCTTCTGGGTCCCAAATTTTTTTTTCTAGGTCTGATTTTTTTTTTAAGACTATTGAAATATTTATTTAGAAACTAGCTTCTAAATGCTTGATTAACTACCTGTTAAGACAATTGATTAAGGTTAGCTTCAGTAATTTTAAAGCATTCTTTTAGATAAACTACCTTTCAAACTTGAACCATGAACTATTTTTATTTAGGAAGTCATGTGAAGCGTAATTCATGATGTTTTTTCCAATCTTCTCTGGTTTAATGCCTTATGTATGAGAGAGAATAAAGTGATTTTGATAGTTAAAAAAAAAAAGAAATATTTAGGAATAAGGCAGTAGCTTAATTTTAATGTTCACTTTTATAATTAAAAAGAATTCATGTCTGTTCACGTAGACAAATTATTTTAACAAGAAACACCACCTGTATTATCAGATTCTGCAGTTATTCCTATATTAGTTATTCTTGGCAACGGTACTGTAAAACTGTCACTGTGTGTGTGTGTGTGTGCACGCGCACGTGCAAGCCTGAGGGCGTACACGCTCACGTTCCTATGTGTACACACCAGGATTCTATTAAAAGATCGTAAATGCCACCTTATTTTCACAATCCAATTAAAACATACAACAAATTTAGTCACTGATAAACAAAAATTGATGAGAACCATGGAAACCTCTTAAATTAGGAATCAGGAAGACCTGAAATTAAGAAACAAAAGAAGTTGCTAAAATTACGCAGTCAAAGTAAGAATTTGTAATGTAAATGTTACCCCCAAACACTTAAAGGTGTGAAAGGTTTTTCATTAGGAAGGACCTTCATAGCTGCATTTGCTGATCAATTCTTAAACTGGTCATAATGGAAATATTATTTTTAAATGGGTCGTGATGTAGAAATTATTAACGTGGTCATAATGGATAAAGTACTCTCTCTTGTTTCCCAGAGAGATTCAAAGGCCTTTCCTGAGTTGGACCCAGGTGAGGGGACATCTGTGTTCCTTAGTCCACACTCACTTCCACCTGCTGCCCTGCACCGCGTTCTTCTCTTAGGCAGCTGAGAACGACAGCAGGAGAGGAGAGCTAGGGGAAATTTTTAAATCGTGATATCCTGTGCAATTTAAAATCCTAAGTGTGCTGTGATACCCATACATGGCACTCCCACTGGTATCTACCAGTCATCACACTGCTTCCAAGCTCACAACTTTTCCCTTTAAATAGTACCTGTTGCAATCTTAGATTGAAGTTAGTGCATCTAGATTTTGGGGGTTTGAAGAACCTGACTGTTATGGGCTACATTGCATCCACCCCTCCAAATTCATACTTTTAAGCCCCCAGAACCTCAGAATGTGAGTGCGTTTGGAGAAAAGGCCTTTAAAGAGGTGATTAAGTTAAAATGAGGCCATTAGGGTGGTCCCTAATCCCATCTGACTAGTGTCCTTATAAAAAGGGGAAATGTGAACGCACAGAGAAACACTAGGGGTGTGTGAACACACACAGAGGAGAGATGATGTGAGGACATAGCAAAGAAGGAGGCTGCCTGCCAGCCAAGGAGAGAGGCCTCAGGAGAAACCAATCCTGCTGACACCTTAATCTTGGACTTCTAGCCTCCAAAACTATGAGAAAATTAATTTCTGTTGTTTAAGCCAACCGGTCTGTGGTATTTTGTCACGGCAGCCCTAGAAAACTAATCCACTGGCTAAAGGATCAGTTACGTTTTTCCAAAGGTTAGGGTAGATTTTTAACATTCCACTGAGGGACTAAAGGGCCCTAACCCAAAAATGTAGTTAAGCAAATAAAGCACTAACTTGAGAGCAAAGTCTCAACAAAATCCATGCTGCTAATGTATGGTTTATGAACAAGAAGCATGGTCAGCATTAGAGGAAAACATGCATCTAGAACTTACTATGTTCCAAGCACTGTACCATATAAACTCATTGCATCTTCACAAACCCTGTGGGGGAGGCGCTCTTTGACAGAAGAGGGAATGGGGGCCCGTAGAGGTTGAGCAACTTGCACAAGGTCACCTAGCTAACAAGGATACCTACCCAACAGTCTGCTCCAGAGTCTTTGCTCTTAAACAGTAATCCATGTGGCTTCTTTAGTAAGTAGATCTAATACTTGTTACCCCTCCGTCACCAACCCAACAGAGGGCAGTGAAATGTGGTGAGAGGATCACTAGCCTGGAAGGTTGAAGGACCTAAATTCAGATTCAAACTCTTACTCCTTATTCCTCCAGGCAGTTTCCTTATCTGAATAACGGGAATGATAATACTTCCTGCTGTGAGGCTCCACTGAGATATATGAAAGTGCCTGGCAGGTGGGATTAGCCCCAGGCATCGCAGACTCGTTTACAAGGTCTGAGATTCCTTTTAAAGATAATTCAGAGGGGCTCTCTGCTGAGTGGCAACCCACCATCCACCATGGCTTTTCCGTTCCATCAAAGGCTTACTTCCGCTTCCAGTTAGTCTTAACATCTGTAGTGTATGAGGGCTCAACCATCCCCACACACGCTTGCATTCCTCTCAGCTCACATTACTGTACAGGTCCACTACCCCTTGCCCTCAGTAAACCATCATGTGGACAAGTAAGAATGGCAGGGAAACGATGGCCTCACTCTCCCTTCCCTACCCTGGACGTCTTCTCTCCCACCTTCACTAGGCTTCTGGAGAGCCCTTAGAAATACCACATTTAGGAAAAACAGCCTTTGGATGAAAGGCATTTTTGTGTGCAGCTCGTTGAGTGGGAATAAGGCGAGGGTAGACCTCTGGTGGTCCCCTCAGGAGCCTACAGAACCCGCATGAGGTCCCACCCTCCCACACCCAGCTACCCAAAGTGCATTCAAGCTCCCACCACCACCCCACAACCCCTCCAGGCCCATGTGGCTGAAGGCACCCTAATGCCAGACCAGCCTTTCCTGAGACGAGCCTCAGATGTCGCGATTGGATCCGGTCCACCCAGGTTGTAAATACTGGCCATCCAGATAACCTCTGTGGCTCCCTTGCAGGCCTTCCGCAGCCTGGGCCTTTTGGAATCACAACTGATAATGTGAGTTATCAGTCGGTGGTCACCCCCATCTCTCAGACTTGGTCTCATGCGCATCGTCCATGCCTCTGCCGTCCACCTGTTTGGGCTGATGACAACATTTCATTATTTCCCTTCCTAGTCATAAGGTTAGTCTGGGCCTCTCGATGGGGAGGGAAACACTCTTCGGAGAACCTGCTTTTGAAATCGACACTCCCCACACACGCTTGCGTTCCTCTCAGCTCACATTACGGCAGCTGCTCCCATGTCTGGATCTAAACCCTCATCTCGTGCCCCGCGCAGCTGAATTACCTTGCCCAGGGAGCTTTTAACATCTTGGCAGGGACAGAGCATAAGCCTACCCCACTGGAGACTAGCTGGGCTGGGCCCTGTATTCGATAGCCATCTCAACATATTCAGAGCCATAGGAATTTTTTCCCCCTCTGCTGCTGGTTTCTTTCCATACTACTAAACTTTGCAAACTAAATGACAAGATGCCGCAGGCTAGGCTAAATTCCGTGCACAATCTCTAGCTGTGCAGCATAGCCAAAGGGACATGCACGGGCTTGCTTTTCCCTCTCATGGAAATAAACAATCCAAGAAGCAGAGCACTCACTTTTTAAAAAAAATTTAATTAATTAATTTATTTATTTATTTTTGGCTGCGTTGGGTCTTCGCTGCTGCTCGCGGGCTTTCTCTAGTTGCAGCGAGTGGGGGCTACTCTCCGTTGCAGTGCACGGGCTTCTCTTTGCGGTGGCTTCTCTTGTTGTGGAGCACGGGCTCTAGGCACGCGGGCTTCAGTAGTTGGAGCACACAGGCTCAGTCGCTGTAGTTCAAGGGCTCTAGAGCACAGGCTCAGTAGTTGTGGCGCACGGGCTTAGTTGCTCTGTGGCACGTGGGATCTTCCTGGACCAGGGATCGAACCCGGATTCTTAACCACTGCGCCACCAGGAAGCCCCAGAGCACTCACTTTTTTTAGGACCAGATGTTCATTCACCTCATGACGTGGGTTGTCCCTGCCAGTAAAGCGCAGGGAGCCCAGTGGTCCAGACTGACCAGATCAGTGTGGCACCCGACACCCGAGAATGTCATCTAGCTGTTCCCCACGGTATATTCTTGCCAC